AGTCTCTTCCTGTCCTCCACACTGGAACAAAGTCTTCCTTACGACATCAGCAGCAAAACCCCCCAGCCTGTTCTCCCATTTAAAGGTCTTTTGGTTTCCTGTTGCTTCAGGGGGACATTCCAGTTAGGCGTGTTCACACAGTCCATCATCCCTTCAGGATGAGCCCAGCCGTGTGTCCTGGACTGGTCATGTTCCGCTGCCCTTCCCGGCCCTGGCTGAGCAGCCACACTCCTCTAAATCACTTTACCTTTGATCTTGGGGAAGTTGCTCAGATTTTCCAAGGCAAAAGCTCCTCTATAACACATGTAGGATCATGGTACCTCCCTAACATAGGGCTGGTATGATGACAAATGAGCTCACTTATGTAAAACGCATAGAATGTGAGTGTGTACTACTAGGTATAGCTCCCACTGTCTTCTCTACCTGGGAACTTAGATCCTGCAGGACTTAGACAAGAAGGCATTTCCCCAGTGACGCCTGCCTCACACTGCTTCAGTTACCTGTCCAAAGACACCCAAACTGAGTGTCTGCTGCCCTGATTTTTCCCTCTCATTAACTTCTCTGTGTGGGGGAGGAGGTAGGATGGAGGGGGTGAGGTGGTAACTACTATCTTTTCTTCCCCGCCCCCATGGAAACTTCCTGACTGGTTCTTTTCTACAGTACTTTTTCCATCAGTCTGCCTATATTCTTGCTCAGGTCTGATCAAGTTTCTTTGCTGCTCAGTAGTCTTCGGAATAATCCCTAAAGACCTTAGGATGATAAACAAGGTCCTTCATTCTAACACTTGCTCAACTCTGATCTCATTTTACGCCTCCCAGTGAAAATCCTTTGCATTTTTCCACTTCTGTTTCTTCTTTTATCATTTTGTTTCCCTGTCCAACAAAACCAACTTCCATTCCAAACCCAGCTCAGGTGATACTCCTTTGCCCTGACTTAACCACATTCCCATAGCTATTTGTTCTTGTGCCTTAAAATCTCATGCTCTATAGAGTTGCCAAAATATTCATCTTTTCCATAAGATTAAATTCATAGAGGTCAGAATTATATCATATTCAAATCTAATACAGTGCCTACCCTTTCCCCAAGGAAAGGAAGAAAGGGAAAAGGTTGAGGCCTTTCCTGGTGGCACAGGGCCTTAAAGTGCAGCATTGCAAATGAGACATATAGCCACTTCAGTGCGAATTCAATCCCCGGCTCTGGAGGTGACCATATGGCACAGCAGACTTCTGTCTCACCTGCTGCTCTCCTCAGCAGTATACTTTGTTGATCTGTCTGTTCTGCTCCCCACTCTGTCTCTCGTGAATCCTCTCACTGCCCCTGCACCTCTGGCCTGTACCCCAGTTCTGTATGCACAAATAAATAAATCTTTAAAAAAAGAAAGGGAAAAGGTTGAGAGAAAGTGGAATGTCTGAAGGGTGGTTCCTGTGCTTGTCTGACCATCAGCATAAGCAGGAGCTTATTTGAAAAGTACTTTCAGGTTGCTGCAGATTTGCTGATTCTTACATTTTAGCAAGATCCCCGGATGACGCATTACACGTTAATGATTGAGAAGCAGAGCGTTGAAGCAGGAGCTGATGTAAATTCCAAATCTACCTGCCAAAAGAGGGGTCAACTGCCTCCTCTGTGCTCTCCTCAGTGTGTTGAAGTCACACCAAACTGGGGAGCAGAGCAAGGGTGTGACTGGTTCAGCTGCCGAGGGGGTAGAGCCTCCCGGCAGCACTCACCCAACCTACATATCAGCTTCTACTTCTCTTTCCAGAAAGACATTGGCATCAGATTGAAATCATTCATTATTATTTGCTTTCTCCTTTGTAGGTCTTTTGATGGATTCTCTAGTGCCCAAAAGAATCAAGAACAACTTTTGACATTAGCAAGTATTTTGAGGGAAGAAGGAAAATTTTTTGATGAAAAGGTTTACTACACTGCAGGCTACAACAGCCCTTTCAAATTGCTTAATAGAAACAATGAAGTCTGGTTGATTCAGAAGAATGAACCCTCCAAAGAAAAGGAATGAGAAAATAAAAGGAACTTCCATTGCCAGAGGCGAGACTTCTGTTTAAGAGAGACAGTAACACTACCTATCGTGAAATGTATCTAGCTAGAGTCTGCCTGAGAGCACTATAAATTATGCTTATTTGCAATGTGTGTTTTAATGCTTGAAGATTTCTCTAGATATGCAGGGGACAGTATTCTGCAAGCAGGCAAACTGGTTATTGGGCTTGTGGTCTTCATGAGGCTACAGCAAAAGTATCACTACTTAATCCGTGTTCACTGTGCTACAGTCATCTTGGATTTGTGTCAGGTGGCTGTTACCTGCTCCAGATATTGTCAATAAAAATGTTAAATATATATCCTGTGTGGAACTATTAGGCTTGAAGGTGGGAAGTCCGACCGATCATAAAAATGAAATGTTCTTTTTTGTCCGCCACTATTAAGTTCTCTGTTGAGTCCTCTTCCCCACCTACCCACTGTCCCTGCCAGATGAGGAAATGTTTACAACACTGCAACATGTGTTAATGTTTGTGACAAAGAAAAAAAATTATGACGTTAGGAACTTCCTATTCTATTTGTATATTCAAAGTATTATTTTCCTGAAGAAATACATTGACATACACTTTAAAAATTCACTTGTATTTCACATAGTATTTCTAAGGGTCATATAAAAGTGATTTTTTTAATTCAAAAATTGGGTTGCCACAGTACCAAGGAAGTTGAAATCCTTGCCTAGCTGTGTTACACAATGTTTGTCCTGGTGAAGTCAAAGTCACATTCAGCTCCCTGGATGCTCTTGAAAAGGGAATGACCTTCCCTGTGAGCTCTGGGAAGCTGGTGGTGGTAGAAGTGAAGGCGAATAGCAGGGTGAGCTCAGTGACTTCCCAAGAATCAAATGAAGTCCAGTTGACCCTGAAACAACACAGGTTTTAACTGTGCAGGTCTGATTACATGTGATTTATTTTCAATAAATTTTTTTTTATGATTTTCTTAATAACATTTTCTTTATTTTACTTTATTGTAAGACTACTTTATATAAGACATCACATATTGAGTATGTGTTTGTTGCCTGTTATTGGTAAGACATCTGGTCACCAGCAGATGTCTTAACTATTAACTCAATAGTTAAGTTTTGGGGGTCAAAATTTATAGGTGGGTTTCTGACTGCACGGGGCTTGGCATCCCCAGCCACGGCGTTGTTCCAAGTCAACTGGACTTCCAGTTCCCATCACTGTGTCTGCGCCGTTTCCACGTGACCACTTGTAGAGGAGGTTTGAGGATGGGGGTGGAGGGTGAGAGGACGGGCAGATGCTGCTTGAGGTCCTTCTAAACCCAATACTTTTTGTACTATTTCCTTTAAATGAATCTCCCAGAACAGCCTGTAATTTTTAGTGGCAAACCTGCTGGCTGTCTGGTCTTGACATTACTATATGCAGAAATGTTTAAATCCCAGACAGTTATTTTCCAAAGGAACTTGACTGAAGTGATTATCGATTCTCTGCATTTTTATGCTCGTCCAAAAGAAACTGCATCTATTCATTTATCACCACTAATTGGAGGACACTGGCTAACCCTCCCACTGGTGACTGTCGAGAGGATGAGCTTCTATTAGCATGAGATAAAATATTTACTCTATAGATGTAAAAAATAGGTATCATTTAGGTGATAAACTGCATTTTAAATGAGAAGCTTCTCATTATCAAGATTTAGTTAAGAGCTGAAACATGTCAATAAAAATAACAGTTTTATAGTATTCAAGTCCAAGATATCTATTTCTCCCACAAGTTACAATCTTTTTCTGCCCTAACTTGATCAATCTAGAATAGAAAATGAATCAATTTTAGTTATATGGCTGGCCCTGATTACAAGCTATTTCTTTTATTTGCATTTTTTCAAGATTTTTCTTCTCTTGAGTATTTGGGAAATTCATTTCTAGACTCTGAGGCTTAATCTTCCACCTTTGCTGTTGTTCTAATTTTTTGCTCCATCCATAATCCCCGTCCTCTCACCTTCAGACTCTCATCCACATGCTCCTATCTCTTTGCTCACAAACAGGCTCCGACTCTGTCTGACCTTCCTCCACTTCCCCCCAAACCCCAGGTTCCTTCAGACCCTTACATAGGACAGTAATTCCCAGCCCCCTTTACCTTGATTATCCAGCGAGTCTGAAAAGAGTTTTCCAAAGTTTCTCTTGGAGATCGAGGCTGTGAAGAGGCTTCCAAGGATCACGAGAAGGAATTAAGTTGGGGAGCCCCTCAGTGCTTCCCCAGAGCCATCCAGCTGTCTATGTATATGCCAATTTTTCATTTGCTTTTACATAATACAGATTTTTACAAGTTTGAAAATAATGTATTTAAGCTCAGTGCATCCATTCATTCCTTTCTAGTCATCAGTTAAGCCCCTAAAAATCCTGCTTCTCCCCCCAGACACATTCACTGAAACATCATTTCTTTTCACCGGCTCTTAAAGTGGTCACAGCTTCCCTACTATTTTCCAGGTGCTAAGCCATGTTGCAGGCAACTCTGGAATCATCAATTACGTCTTTGGCTCTTCTGTTTAATCCAGCTTCTTGCTGAGAAAACAGTAATGAGTAGGAGAGAAAAGACACTGGTCCTTCCTTGTGGCGAGTGGAGAGTTTAGAAAATAATGAAATGGGAAAGTGAACGGAGTGGGACTGGCAAAGTGCAAGGACATCATGGGGAGTTGGGGGTGGAGGGTCAGGAGAACTCTCCTGGAGAATCATTTGAGACTTGAATGATGAGAAGGAGCCAGTCAGCTGAAAGCCTGGCGATGGGGCAGCATCTGGGGCAGCATCGCAGGAAGAGGTGATAATATCAGCAGCAGGGGTCCTTGCTTGCTGGACAGGACAGTCTCCCTTGATGAAGAAAACTGTCGACCTTGTATGGGGTTAAAGGATTTGCTTTTCAGAGGCCTGCAGGGGCTAACTGGGCTTTCGCTGGGAAGGTGTGGTTAGCGAGGCCTCTGCTGATGACTGTGATTTAAAAGCTGATTTACAGGCGAGTTCACCAACTCAAAGCTGTCTCTGCGAGAGTGCTCCAGGGATGCTACCGCTTCAAGTCAAAGGGTCAGTGCCCAATAGAGGACCGGTCACAGTCTGTGGGTTCTTCACTGGTGCACACAATTGCAAGACCACTCAGGCTCAGGTACCAACAATAGGGTGTATTAAACCAACAAGGGAAACAAAATCTCAAAGGCCACAAGAGACTGGCTATCTCGCCCCAGTCACCCCAATGTCCCCAGTGTCCAAAAGCCCTACACAAACAGCTGCCACCTCAAGATGGTGCCAACCATCATTGGCTTCCTTCTTTCTTTGGAAGCTGGCTGCTGGATGTTGCTTCTTTTCTCAAAGTGTAACAGGGTGGTCCCTAGGAAAAAGGGAAGTTCCAGGTTCCCTGCCCCACCCAGAAGGAGGGTGGAGCTGAGCAGAGAAAAAGGAGAGGAGAAGGGAATGAAGGAGGATGGAGAAGGAGGAGGAAACCCAAGGAAGCCACATGGAGCAGCAAGCATGTGGGGAAGAAACAGTGCTTGTTTCCTGACCCTGGACTGGTTAAGGCAGATGTGGGTAAGAGACCTGTAGGGAGGTGACTATGGCAGTGTTTATATTGATTTTGATTTTGCTCTTTTGCTCTCAGATTTGTCTGGCCATTTCTGACCCTTTTCCATGGGTCCCGGCCAGAAGGTGCTTTAGTCTAGTGGCAGCTTTCAGGCCTTGCTTTGGGCCAACCCCTTTTGGGTTGACTTTTGCCCACGAGAGGATGGGTCACTTCAGGTGTTTGATTTGGAAGTTATATTCTTTGTGTTCTGTATTGTATATTCACTGTATTAAAGTCCCTTTTCATTAAAGTTTTATATGTTTTGTCTTGTTGCGGCGGATGGCAGAACCCACTTAGTGCAGGCAGGTTTTGGGGCTTCAGGGGTGTCCCTCTCCCCCCTGTCCTCTAACAGAATTGGGGTGCCCTATAACAAAAGCATGCATGGACTCTCAAGTCTGACAGTCCAGTCAGACTTACTGCTTTCTCAGCAGGCAGGTGGACTAAACAGAAGAGCAGAAGACTCTTCTATTTGATCATTCCAGAGTTGCTGAAGAGGGTACATTTCTGCCCACCACCATGTCCCAGCCCGCAATACAGCGGAATGCCTGGACAATCGCAGGGATGCCATGATGACTTAAGAGGGGATCCAAGATGGCACCAGCAAGCAGCAAGCCAGGACGCAACTCACCACAGCTAGAGGTGCTCAATGGCGAGGCCACTGAGATGCAGCCAAAGCCGCTCACAGCAGCAGTCTGAGGTTGGGATGGACAGCCCTGGATGTGGGCCAGGCAGCCATGGGAGCAGCAGTATCAGCTGGACCAGACAGCCATGGGTGCAGCAGGAGGTGGTGCTGGATGATCAGAGGCATGAAAAGGTGCCCTGGACAGAGTGCCGGGAGCACTGGCCCATGGTGACACATGGTGACAGTCACTACTGATTACTAGCGTTTCGGCTTTCTGTGAGTTATTGGCCCACACCAACAAGCAGCAGCTCTTTGAGGCGCCCCACCTGGGGCCTTTGGTGCTCCTTCCGGTCAATGTCAGAGGCAGGCCGGAGGCAGGGAGTGGTCCCCGCTTCTGCAAAGCTCTTTGGCTTCTCTATGAAGCTTTTTGGCTTCCTTCTTTCTTTGGAAATTGACTGCTGGATGCTTCTTTTCTTGGAGGCCGGAACAGAGAGGATCAGAGCGTGAGAGTCCAAGTCTGAGAGTCCAGTCCCTGCGAGCCCCAAGCTGATTTCTGCACTGCCTCATAGCTTCCTCTTTCCCCATGAAAGCCTGACTGGACCAGTTTCTAGTCGAGGGCTGACTGCACCATTCACCAACCGGCTAATAGATCACACCTGATCGGTCCATTCTATTATCCAGGCACAAGTGTACTAGCTGCAGCTGGAGGGAGCCTCAGTGTCGGAGCTGGTCCCTGGGCCCTGTTCTGTCCCAACTTCCGTGAAGGCCGCCAAGAAAGGAAGGCAGGAGGCAGAACGGCTGAGCAAGCAGAGTGTGTTGTTCCCGACAGCAGCAGAGACCGGAGCCCCTAGAGTGGCGTCTGCAGCCACTGCCAACTCAGTAAGAGGGAAGGTCTCTTACACAGACCCTAGGTGCACATTCCAAAGGGTGACTCATCGCTGTGCCCCTTGATGCTAGGCCTAGTTCCTCCCACCTGTATCAATCTTGGATGTGAGGCCCAGTTCTATCGCCTTCAGCTAGTCCCATGCCGGATGCAAGGCTCCATTCTTTACCGCCCTAATTCAGCCCTTGTCAGTCAATCTTTGGTCACTCCCAACAGGCCCCTGCTCCTCCCTGCAGCTCTGATCAGGGCTGCATGCCCTGAGGCAGCATGGTAGGGCCCGTCTCTTGCCTGCTACCATTGCTGGCTTCTGCCCTCAGGCTGAGCCTCAGTGGGGGCTGGCAGTAAGAGGCCTACCAAGGGCTGCTGTTTGCACTGCCCACAGGCAGTACTCTTGGGGTCAAGCACTGGAGTCCTGAGGGGGAGGGATCTCCAACTTCATTTTGTTGTTTCTGGCATTTGTTTGTTCCTATGGTTAAAGGACAATCTTTCTCCTCTGGGATTCAAAGTTGTGGAAGAATCACTTTAAGTTCCATCTGGATCATCTGTAAATTAATTGCATCTGTGAATCCAAATTTCAAAAATAAAGTAGTGTTTTTTATTTCTTTTGTTGTTCTAGAGTCTGAAAGCATCTTAACCCCAAAGCACAATTTACTTTAAGGAGCTACTCTAAATGACCTTCCATAAAGCCAGCCTTTATGCACAGAACAAGGACTAGAGCAATCTGTAGTCATTTGTTTAGCAATGGAAAAGCATTTTTTTATGAAATACCATGCAAGATAGAGTGATTCTTTAAGAAATATATGGATAAGAAGTCATTTAAGGGCTTCAATCCTCATGAAGAAGACAATGAACTATCCTACAAAACCTGAGTTAGCACAGATGTAAAGAGCAGTACTCTGGGTTCTGTGGCAAACCCCAGGAGGACCCCATCTGAACTGCATTCTCTAATTTTTTTTAAGTTTTAAAAAATATTTATTTATTTATGCATACCAGAACTGGGGTCCAGGCTAGATTCAGGGGGTGAGGCGATTTATCACCAGAGACAGAGTGGGGAGCATAACAGGCTAAAATACACTGCTGAGGGGACAGCAGTGGATCAGGAGAGGTCTACTGTGCCACGTGGGTCACCTCCCTGGCTGGGAATCGAACTCATGCTGCAGTGGCTGCAGATCGCTTCATAGTGCTGCACTTTAACCCATTGCAACCAGGGAAAGGCAGGCCCATGATGTATGTTCTCGTTTATCCCGAACACTGGAAATTGCGTCAGGTTAGCAGTGCAACCAGAAAACTCTCTATGGTCTACCCTATAGTCAAGTGGGCAGGGAGACCGTGCTGCCAGGATATGTAGGTAGTCATCAGACTGGGAGCGCTGCTTTCCTTGTACAGGTGCTATCCCCTCTTCTTGTGGCTCGCTTCTTCCTGTCTCTCCCCAGGATGGATGGAGGCTGGAGAGATGGATGGAGTATTGCAATACTGCAATCTTTGAGGCACCAATTAGAATGAAAGCTCCACTGTACAGACAGTGAAAAAAGACTTGGCCTGTTGATAAAATCTAGTCACTCCACCAGTCTCGGACTCCACCTCCAGAAACAGTGGTAAGCAGTTACACTTCTTTTGCAATTGAGTGACCTGGTTCTTAGAAGATGTTATTGCTCCTACTAGGAGGGAGTTTTATTGTAGTAAATCTGAGCTAAGACTTTTTAGTGATTTCACAAGCAAAAGATGCTGGCAGAAGGATTCTTCAATAGAGGAAATAACAAGGCAAAAGCAGAGAGGCGAAGGATTTTAATCATTCCTTTTTATTTCCAAACTCCTAGTCAGGTGGGTAAGCCATTTACTGCTGCCTTGACTCTATATGTTTCTCTTTACCTTTCTTCCCTCACAAAGTACATGACCATCACCATATTTTTTCCTCTAAAAAGAGTGCAGAGGCCTTTTTACCTTTGAAGTTGTCTTTCAACATCACTACCGATTGATTGTTTAATGCTGTTGTTCTCCATTTTCAGTCTGCATTCACATAGTAAGCCAACGCATCCATAAGCCAAATGTTCGAATTTTTTTCCTCTTCCTTCAGCTGAACAGGAGGTCCTCCAACAACCACAGGCAGGGAGGGGGGTGACGACGTAGGTGTGGGGAACCTGCTCACGTAGCTGAAGCTCCAGTCTGCCTCATGATACTTCTGGCTGACCATTGCCATGTTATAATTGACAGCTGCTGGCCACCAACTTTATGACATGGTGGGACAGGAACTTCTGAATGCATAATCGTTTGGTTCTCCATGTTTTTATCTCTATCAGGAGCCAGTAGCATACCAAAACGGGTCTTGAGTAAACCTTGTAATTCTTTGTTGCAGTAAGCCCAACCTTCAGCACCCAGGAAACCATATTATGATTTTCCCATTGGTTCTTATCATAAATTCCACACTGAACTTTTTTTTTTTTTTAAACCACCACCACCTTCAATACCACAGCATCTGTTGGAAAAAATGGCCAAGTTACACATTCCTTCATTTTTGTCACTCTGGGGTCTATTTCTAATAGATCCCATCCCTCCAATTATGCGAATGCTAGGTTGCTTATTGAACAAGGAGTGGTAACTAGCATTAAACTGCACTTCTAGGTTGATCAGAGCCAAGAAATTAAATGCAGAAAATGCAGGGGCTACCCAGAGGTGAGAGGCCAACAACAGAAATTCAAAACTCCAGTTATTTGAATAAAAGACTCTTCATACATATGTATTTACTGTCCTGAAACTAGACACTGAAATCCAGCTAAGCCACATTTCTTCGCTTCTAACACATTTTTCAGCCAATAAAATGTAATTCTTATGTTACTCAGCGTGACACCCAACACTTACATAATTTCATTCACTTTCTTAACTGGGATAGCAGGTTTATCTTCTGTCCCCCCAAAAATTAATTCGCAAATTTCCTTCTTTTTTCAGAAAACTAGTTTAGTGGAATATTGATCATTGGGTAGCATACTGCTCTGTAACAGTAGAAACTGAGTAGTTTGATTATAGGAAAATGGACCTCAAGCATCAGGTCCATGGTCTATTTAAAATATTGCCATGACTGCAATGGGATCTTAATACCTGATAAAGTAAATTATCTTGCTGTGTTCATTTAATGATAGAATCTCAACAATATAAACAATTATTCATATTCAATGAGGTGCTGAAAACAAAGTAAGGCAAAGCCAGTGAGCTGTGAGCTTCACCTGCCCTTCCAGGTTGCCCATCTGAGCTGGATGTGGTATTGCTGGCTGGGGAGTTAGGACTTAGAAGCAGAAATGCCCCCTTCCTGGTCAGTGTGATTCCCCAAATGAATATGGTTGTCCCTTGGTTCCTTGGGCAAAGGAACATTTATGATGTTTGCCTTTGTACAAATACACACACACACACACACACACACACACATACCCTTGAATCTTGTCATTATTCCCTAAATAACAAAGGATTGCAACAACTATTTATGTAGTATTTATACTGTAAATAAATTTAGGTATTAGGTATTAGAAGTAATCTAGCGAGGACATAATACAGGAGAAATGTGTGCCTTTATGTTAAGTACTATGCCACTTTATAGAGGGATTTGAAAATCCTTGGATTGTGGTATCTGTGGGGACTCTTGGAGTCAAACCGCTGGATACCAAGCAGTGACTCTGTATGCTCATCTACACTGAAGCAGCGGCATTCTTTAGAAAGAGGGCCGAAATCTTCAGAAATAGGAGACGGCTTCCAACTGACAGATACATGGTCATTTGGGCTTCTCTGACCATTTGGCACTTAAAGTGTTGGGGTCTAGAAGGCTGCCAAGTCTGCCCTCACATTTTTAAGTATGACTTCGTAGGCTAAGAGAAGCAAGCCCCCACCCACACCCACACCCCCAGAAGAATAAAGTTACAAAAGATACCTTATGTTTCAGGGATGGACCTAAATTCTTATTTCCTGATATTCCATTCATCCTTGTGAAAAGTTCTCACAACTCTCCACGTGACATCCACTACAGTTAATACAGTCTTTGTGCTTTATTCAAACGTTCACAGGACATTATTTATAGCTGTTTCTCCACAGGTTTTTTCAGATGGGTACATCTCATGTCCGTGATGCCCCACCACCTCTCTGCTGGGACCCCAGCAAAGGCCCTCTGCTCTTTGCTGCTGCTCTGTGCACGGCCAGCAAAGCACTCAACAGCTCTGGACAAGAAAATCTATCTCATTACTCAAAAAAGGCATGTACAAGCAAAATGAAATAAGGTTCAACTATTTACAATTGTTTTATTCAATTTAAAACCCTAATATATTTTCTCTTGAAAAATGAGAATTTTAAAGTAGTTATTTTTCATGTTGTTTCTTTTACCTTTAACATACATGATTCATATATTAAGTCTTCTCCTACCCACATAGATTCTTATCTCTCTCAAGCAGCTGTGAGCAGAATTCATATCCAAAAGCCAGTTCCCCTTTTCTAAAACTTGGATAAAAGGGTCTGTGTGTCAACATAGTAATGATTGTTCCCAATGGTAAAAAATCCTTTGGCCTTAAGCCAAATGCCAGGTCTTGGTTTCTGGTTGCCTAAAGTGTTTTGTTTTGCTTTTCCCCAGAGAAGGGCAGGAATCTTAATTCCTTAGGTTTGTCTCAGTGACATGTCTGAAATGGGCATTATGTACAGTCAGGAATGGTGCTTAAAGACAGGGACATTGCCTGAAAAAGGCAAGGTTTGGTGATTTCTTCAGTGAACTTACACTGACCTACCATACAGTCAGGCTCTCAGTGTGGTGCCTGTTGGCATGAGGACTGGTGCTTGCTGAATCGTGTTAGGAGCTCACTGCTTACGATGAATTCACCTGTGCAGTCTAACTGCTACATGATATTTTTCACACCAAAAGAGATGACAACTGGCAGTCGCACTGTATTTAGGTCAAAAATCTCAGTATTGTCATCTTACATCCTTCTAATGAAGAAGACAAGATGTTGATTTTATTTGACCAATAAATAAAGGAGTTTACATACATGAAGTTGTGTGGGAGTGGGGAAAGGGAATCAGAAAAACATGACATTAAAAGAAATACTTTGCATAGTTTCCCTCCCCGCCATGTCTAAAAGCAATTAGAATTCTAGATGGAGAAGTTTAGAAGGTAATCAGCCAATTCAATTATTTATAAAAAAATATATATATATAATATGTATATAAACGCACAAACCGAATGATGTGAAAAATTGTTTTAATCTAAAAACTCATTTCCTAGGGCTAATTCATCACCAAGCCCTGCCAATTTTTACCAGTTTATGGGACTAACAAAAGCTATTAAGCATGTTCTCCAAATAAAGATAATATATAATAGATTTTGATAAACCTTTCTAAATGAGGACATGATACTGCAAGTAGTTCAAGGAAAAATAGCCATCATTTCTTTGGTGTAACCAAAAAGAGATCCAAAAGTTAGGAAACGCTGATATTTCAAGAGATAAGAAATTGCCAAATGGAGAATTTAAACTCTGGTAAAAAACCGTTGAAAAAGGAAAGCGCCACCCGAGTTCTGTAGTGCAAGATTTCAAATTTAATTCTGAAAAATAATTTTATTTAATAAGCAGGAAACAATTCCAGCAGTGTATCACTTACGCCTCTTCTGTCCTCTTTGACCCTCTCTGTACGTGCTAACCATCACTTCATTCTCAGAGAAGGTCTCAGCTGCTACTCATGGAGGGAATTCACTTAAAAATGACCCATATTTCCAAAAATCGGGCTTAAAGTTGTATCTGTGGCTGCAAGGAGCTGACTCCAAGTTATACCACTGCCACTTCCATGGGTTTTTGTCATTTTTACAAAAAAGAAACAAAGCCTTTTTTCCCCAGAAAAAAGTACCTGATCCAATTTAGTCACTTAGCCCTTCCCCAACTTTGTGGGTTAACCACAACGCGGCTCACCTCAAAAGCACACCTGTGCATATACCCATGTGTTCTGAGCACTCAGAACCTGCTAATCTACCACCGCTTTCTTAGAAACAACAGCCTCTCCCTACTTCTGGGACACTTTCATTTCCAGAAACACAGTACTTTTAAAGCAATCATCACCTAGCCCAGAAGACTCCATTCCTCTACCTAGCTTAACTCTTCTATATTTGTACATGCTGTTCATGTGCGCCTGTTTAACATACAAAAATGTTCAAAATGCACAGCCACACAGCTCTACACACGCCTCCAGCATTTAGGCAAATACACACACACACACACACACACACACAAATCTTCCCCAGGAAGCACTTTCAGAAGTTAAGCTTCTACTTGCTTTTAAGACACAGGGCAAGTGCCAAGTGACTCCTAAATACCCCTCCCCCTTGCTCTGCAAGCTGGCAGCGCCTGGGATGACAACACCCACGCTGGATGGGATCCCAGGGGAGGCAAGGAAGAGACCCTGTTGAGTTTCCCAGAACCGTATGTTGGGCATTTCCCCCCATCTCCTTGGAGATTCAGGTGCTTGCCCCTAACTCTTTTCCCTCAGAGGACCTCTGCCCGGTTCTCACGGGTCCTTGCCTGTCCGCACCAGCCATCCCATCTGCAGCCTGTGCCTGCAGCGGGGCGGTGGGCTCCCCGCCGCTGAGCAGGTGACCCCCAGCTCCCACATCCCCTGCAGGTCCATTAGGCGAACGCGCACTTGCGGGGCCCAGGGTCCGGAGAGCCCCGCTGTCCGCTGGCTCCACCGCTTCCCCTTCGCCTTCAGAGATGACGGTCATGGGGCGGCTCTGGATGCGGTTCCTCAAGCTGTACCTGCTGCTGGCTGCCGAGGGGGGCGTTCGGCTGCGCCCGTACCTGGGGCCGGAAAAGGACAGACTCCGAGGCATCAGGCCTTCGTTTTTGGCCCACTCCTCCTGGGCCCTTCTGTTCTTGCTCGGGGAGGGGCTTGACGGGCTCTCAGGGGCATCGGGCGAAGGCTCTGATCTGGACCTCTGGAACCTTGGGTCTGTGTTCTTGAGCATCTCTGCGGCGGACATGCGGGCGCTGGTGTCGGAGCGACTTCCTTTTTTCAGTAACAGAGCTTTGAAGTTGTCGCTGCTGGTGCTGCTCTTCCGGACGCTTCTCTGAATCGATCCCACTTGTTTCGGAGAAGTCAGACTGGGGGCAGCGCCGGTGGGTGTCACTGGCGGGGAGGGCGAATGGTTCCGGGAGTGATCATCATCTGAATCTTTACGGCCAAGAACTTTCCTCTTGGATCTGGGGTTTAATAGCATTAAGTGGGAGGTTACTGGCTGTCAATCACAAGTCACCCTGTGTCTCTAAAATTTTCAACTCACCCTTAGTAAGAGTGATTTAAATGACAGAACTTACAAGCACCCGTGCAAGAAAAGACCAGTTGTTCACTTACCAGCTGAGCACACGACCCAATTACACTATATCCAGTTTACGGCCCCCTTTCCTCACTAACTCCCTCACCAGATTACTTTGAAAGAACTCTCAGGTATCATATTAGCTAACTTTGGCTAGTAGGACATTTCCAAAAAGTCTAGTAATTTCTATTTTTTACTAACCTCTCCGCAGAAGGTTGTTTCTGAGTGAATTCCATGGTGGTGACCATCTCTTACTCTTCCTTGTCTTGTTTGGCTGGCACTTGAACAGATCTAACAAATCAGCCAAGTCCTAGAATATCTCCTCTACCCAAACACGCCTCTACTCCAGGTTCTAGAACAACTCTACAAATGTTTTCTCAGCCACTGTAGAGTGTGATAAAAACCAGTCAGTCTTCCTTAGTGATTGCTGCATCCTATTTGAACTTCTAGAAAACTAGTTTTCCAGAAGACAACAGTGAACCTTCTGCACCAGGTCCTGTTTCCTGTCTGGCTTAGAGTACTGCTAACTGATCGAGGAAAGAAATATGAGGGATGCGGGTGAGGTAATGATGAGGAGGGGTGGTCAAGGAAAGTGGAGTGTTTCCTTGAGGGTATTTCCTGTCCTCAGTCCCTAGCAACCTCCCTATTCAATATTTAGTGTGTTTCCTATGGTAAAACGCATTCACAATAACCAGAGAAAATAAGCGGCTGAGCCAAGCAGCCCATTGCCAGAGTCTGAGGAATCTCTCAGCTAAGTACAGGTGGATTTATTTGCTTTTAGGAAACTGGGCACATTTGCTAAAATAAAGATGTAGGGGTGCCTCTTTTCCTACTATCAAATTCTAGAATATTTAAAAAAAATAGGTTGTGATAGATGAAGAGTGGACTCACTCTTCACAGGTCTTGCTCAAGGTCTGTGACCTTGGACAAGTTACTCACCTATGCTGCATCTCAGTTTCATAACTGATAAATGAGAATGGTGGCAACAAGCTCTAAGATCTGTGAGAAATCAATGAGATCAACAACTTCTGGAGTCACATATCCTAGCTTAAATCCTGCTGCCAAAGCTTCCCTGCTTGGTGATCTTGGGCACATGAAAGTTTTGATCATGTGCCTTATGTGGAAAAGGGGACTAACAGTATGTAGAGCCCACAGTTTATCAATAAAGATGAAACACAGTAATAGCCTTCAAATATCAAGTATCGGGCACAGAACAGGTACTTATCCAACCTCTAACTGTCATTTAGGGAAATAAAATTCTTCCTTCCTGCAGATTAGGCGTTAGGGCTATTGTAAGTGGCTTGTGCCCTAAGACATGATGGCTGTTCCCAGGCTGGCTGCTCCCAGGGTGTTCTCTGTGCCTCTAGCCAAACTGAAGCCACCCAAGCACCAAAGACGGAGTCTGAAGGGAGGGAGAGCAGGCCTGCTGAGGGACTGTTGCCTTTGGGACTCCAGAAAAATATTACCTCAAAATGACTGAGCTGGAAAAACTGTTAGATGGGTATACAGAGAAGGTAACTGAAGCCTAGTCTGGGTTTCAGAGAAGGTTAACTGAGGTCTAGAGTGAAGTCACACAGCTTCGTACAAAACGAGGCCTGACAGAGCATCTTTTACTACAGCATGTGCCATCGAACTCACGCCGCCGGTCTCGCCGCAGCTCTGCTCATCTCACTCTTGCAGGGGTTGGTTGGTGGCACTTAGATCCCCGTAAGAGTATCTGGTATTTATCCAAGTTGTAGCTCTATCTGATTAAAGCCATGGCATGTAACTGCAGATTTAGAAATAAGAGGAAGATGGGAATTTATAAAAGCATAGTTGTTTCTCAAGAGCAACTCATCTGAATTGAAAATAAAGTCTAAAAATATGAATTGGCTGCATATAGCTGTGCACACATACGTCCACACAGTGTGTGTACTACCAAAGAGGGTTATAAAAAGTACTTAAACAGTTAACACTGGCTGAAATACTAATTACTTCAATAAATACAAAAACTTCACACCTCGACTGGTGTTCTTCATTTTCCATCTGGCTGTAAATCTGAAGTGAATTAATTTGCATTATAAAATTTGAAAGCTGTGTTTCAACTTAGTCTTTATTTTAAATTATTAGTGTAGGTGCTAAAGGATATAAAATAAAGTCCAAAAAGATCACAGACCTTCGACAGATTTTTTACTACGTGTGCTAACATGTTGCCACAGCTAAGAGAGACCCTGGCACGTGCCCTCGCTCTGGAATCTATACTCTCCTTGGCATTTTCGTCCAGTGTGTGTACATGAAATAACAAAGACTGGCTAGTTCTTACATCTGCAGTAAATACAACTCTCTAGTAGGAGAAACCACAAAATTTTCAGGGCCTTGAGACAGCTGCCAAAATAAAACAGATGAGAACTTTGGCATATTTTTAAGAAAAGCACATAGCAATTTAGTTCCAGAGTAGTTGAGTTTCTCACCACGATCAAGAATGTAGTTCAGAGCAACTGGGTAACACATCCTCTCCATGGCTGCTGCTATAAATACAAGCACAGCGTACTCTGCGCGAAATGAAAGACACTGTGTCTTGGGAGGCTTCCCAAGCAGTGAAGTTCCAATTGGTTTCATTTAATTCAGATATGTTTATTAAGTGCTTATTATGTATATAGCATGGTTAAAGTTAGAAGCATCTGTGTAAACGTCTACAAGTGCCAGCTATTTTCAAAGGCTGTCGCATCTTTCACTTCCCTGTTTTGAGAAATCATTTGATAACTACCTACCTTTACATTTCTACTGAGATCGAAAAACCAGTCAGACAGGATGAAAGGGGCAGTCTTTAGAGTTCTTGGGGATACTGCACCAACATCTGCGCCAATTCTTGATAAATGCCTTACTTTGCCAGTTAATGGTCTCTCCCCACCTCCTGGCTCCCCAAGTTAGATGTTTACATGCTATAAGAGGAATGTCAGCTAGGGACAGCACTGGGCTTCTCATCTTCTCAGCTAGACTTCAAGAATTGGCAAAACCTTCCTGACACGAGGTTATACACACGATCAAATAATTTTATAGGATATTCTGCTTCAGCAGGTAAAAAAAAAAAGATGCAATGTAAGGCACTAGCAGAATAAGAATATAAGTATCTGAAAATATCCTGAATACGTTTAGAAGGTAGCAGGTGTTGATATAGCACAAGGGCTCACAGTTCGTGCACATATCTAGTCTCATCAATGCTTACGACATTTGTTTACAACCAGAAAAATGCTGCCATGCATAAAACTAATATGAGAAATCATCCTCACTCTTCAAGGTCAACACACAGACAAAATTATAGCAGTCCAGGCAATTATTTTGAAACATTTCCTCTGTATCTTTAAAACACAGTCTTTCAGATGCCAGCAGGTGGCACTAGCAGCTCACAATAGCAAGGAGCTGAAAGCATTTTGCACTTAAAAAAAAAAAAATTTAAGTAACCAAAAGAAATTGCACTATAAAATTCTGGGTTTTTTTTTTTTTTTTGCAAAATTGTAATGAA